CCCCTGCATCGGCAGGCGGACTCCCAACCACTGCGCCACCAGGGAAGCCCCATCACCACATTTTACCTCCTTCTTTCCCTAAGGACACAGACTCCCCAGTCAAGCCTTTCTGTTCTCCTCAGACCTCTCCTCCCTGACTCATCCTCGGTTCACTGCTTGATTGGTCACATACCACAGACATGAGCAAAATCATTTCACCAGCAACTGGCAGTTTTCTTTATCAAGCATCACACTGGCGATGAGGGTGTCTGGAAAGACCAACCAAGTCCAGAAGACTGCATGAGGAGGCACTCTGGGATGAGAGGATGCTAACACACATGCTCTCACAACGTACCAGGCCCACGTCTAAGTGTTTAACATATTTGAACTCAATCACTCCTCCACAACTGTGTACAGTAGGAACTACTGTCACCCAATGTTATGTAGGCAGACAATGAGCATGGGGTTTAGTGGTGAAGTTGGAGATTCTAATCAAGGCATTCTGGCTCCAAAAAGAATATCAAAGACCTGCCCCCCGGGCTTCCCTGGTGGCGCAGTGGTTGAGAGTCCGCGTGCCTGCCGATGCAGGGGACACGGGTTTGTGCCCCGGTCCAGGAAGATCCCACGTGCCGCGGAGCGGCTGGGCCCGTGAGCCATGGCCGCTGAGTCTGTGCGTCTGGAGCCTGCGCTCCGCAACGGGAGAGGCCACAACAGTGAGAGGCCCTCGTACCGCAAAAAAAAAAAAAAAAAAAGACCTGCCCCCAACCCAAAAGCTCAGTTCCCTGGCTGTCTACACTGTGTTCTTATCCACCTGAATCCAGTAGTTAACACTCCAGTTATTTCTGCCTTTGCGGGGAGGTAATCCACTGTTTGGCATGGACAAGCCAATCCATTTTAAGGCAGGTTTTCATTACCGATTTCATTTCTTGTCCACAGGTGTGAAAATGAAATCTGCCTTCCCCAGATCTCACCCTAAAAGACGGAGCCAGATCATGGTAAAAACAGAACCTGTTAGCCTAGGCTCAGGGTGTAAAGAGAGATCCCGGAAATGTTGGTCCATAACATGCCGCAGGAAGGTACGGGGAGGTTTTAGTTGCAAATGAATCTTCAGAGTGGGTAATGCCCACCTGAATGCACACACAGTGAGCCTCCTTGCCCCTCTGAGAGCCAGTGGGAAGGGAGATTTGATTTAGAAGGGAGGTGTTCTCAGCTGTCAGGGTCACCTTCTACAAGTCTTGGATCACGTAGGGTTTGGTAAAGGAAACTCCCTAGAGATTCCCCCCTACCTGCCCACCCCCCAACTCCCAGATGGCCTCTTGGATGGTTAAGACCTTCTGGATTCTCAGGGTTATCGCAGTAACACAAGATCTAAAATCTTTCAAATGCAGATACTAGCTGTCCCAGAAACAACGTGAGTCCAAACACAGGGCTTCAGTTGAGGTCTGAGCTCGAGACCTATATTCCCTTTCTCTTCCTGGAACTCACAGGAGCCAACCAATAGGACATCTCAACCAGAGACAGCAAATCTTGGCCTCTTTTGATACATGGTGCTCAGCCTTGGCCCCAGGCCTTTTCAACCCAACCATGAATTTTCTCTTGACCAGTGTAGCCCAAATTACATTGTCTGGGGGAGCCAGGAGCCAAAGGAGGTCAGCGTTTCCAAACCTACCCATCCCTGCCCTGGGCACTCAGTACATTTGCCTGGCTCACTAAGAATTACGTCTTCCACTACACTGAGATTTTGAAAAACCTGTTGCTTGAGGCCTCGTTGGCATGATGCCCTTGCTTACACCCAGCTTGGGAACTGCTCTGTCTAGAAGCCAGAAACCACATGCTGGTAGGTCTACGCTGCACGTAAGAGGAGACGGCAAAGAGAACAGGTCCAGCCTCCTTCCTCCTGGAGTCAACACTGGATCATCTGTGGCAAAGTCCCTGCTGGCAGAGTGTTCAGGCCTCTGGCTTTTCACCTTTTGGCTTTTCACCTTCCTGCCTGGGAAGGAAGAGCCATTCTCCTGGCTAACAGCCCTACGGAAGGGAAGAGAGCTGGAGTTAACGCTTAAAAGGAGGTTGAAAATGTTACCCACGGGGATTCCACTTTTCCTACTTTTTCTCTGTTCCTGTGACCAACAGTCACCAAGAGTTGGCTCCATGTCTACTTCTGTGAGTCGCAGAAAGACAAAGGTATTGGAGTCTGACTGGGGGAACAGCCTTTTCTTACCTTAGCGGTAAAGCCGGCCTGAAGACACTGGGGCATGCAGCAGCGAGCCTGGTGGAGTGAGTGGAAAACTCCAAGGAGACCAGGGGCCGGGGGTTCTTGGAGGAACCGTGGCAGGGGAAGAGTCAGAGACAGACAGAAATATGAGACTCTGGGCAGTGACAAAATAAATTGTTTTAATGGGAGGTTTTCGGAAAGGGCAACTTTTCCTTGTGCTATGAAACAGCCAGCGTCCCTGTCTTGGGGTTTCCTGGGGAGGTACTGGCTGATCCCCCAACCCCACCGGAAGCGAGGACATTACTCTGACACTATGTTCAGCCCTTCCAGGGATCCAGAGGTGTGTCTTAACATCAGGAGATTGGAGTGAGCTAGCAGACAGTCCAAAATACACAGTCCCTGTGTGTGCCCGGGCCCGAGGAAGGGGGCAGGGGCTTCACTTCCACCTTAGATATTTCTCCGTTGGGGGAAGACAGAGGGGGCAAATCACTTTGAAAATTCAACTCTGACCTTTACGAAGAAAACCGATAGACACTTTAGTATTATATACAGGGCAGAGGGGAGAGGAAGTAGAGGGGAAATTGCACTTAATTACAGTAGTTTATAGTTTACACCCATTGGACAAATTTACTTCTTTAAAAGAAATCTCCAGGTCAGCCGGGATGGGGGGTGGGGGAGGGAGGTGGCTGATATTTACAGTGTGTTTGGCTCAGTTCAATAGCACGTGTCCTCCTCGCCTCATTTCAGTAACAGATTCAAGTTTTCACATCAGTTTGTTCGATGAAGGAGCATAATGTAGACGCTCCGGCTTTCTCTCTCTTCCTCTTCCTCGGTTTCTCATCTCCCGCCTTTAGGACAGACCAGACGGGAGAGCTTGACGTCTTGGGAGAGGCATCGTGACAATACTGCATAGAAGGGAAGCTGGGCTCTGGGCCGCGCCTCTCAGAGCGGATTGTCCGAGGCGCTGGCAGGATGTCAGGTGAGCAGGGACCTCTCGCAGGTGCTGCTTGTCAGGTCACTGCGCGCTTTTCCGCGACAGCTGCCTGGAGGGTGATGGTGTGGAAAATAGGGTCCTTGTTGCTGCGCACAAAGTAAGTGATGTGTGGGCATCACCAGGCTTGGAGAGGACACTGCAGAGAGAGAGGAGAGACAGCTCAGCTGTGTACATCTGCCGGGACCTGGGCCATTAGTCTGGCTTCTCTGGGGGAGCTGAGACCCAACTCAGTCAGCAAAGAGCTGAGGCTGGGGGCCTGGGGCCCCCCGTGCCTGGCTGAGCCCTGCAGGGCTGGTCCTGAAACACGCTCCCTTCAGGAAGACCTAGGTGCCGGCTTCCCCGGCTACTTCAGAAGAGAGAAGTGAGTTGCCGCCGACCTTGAAATAGTCATAACTCGCCGACCTCTATCCCGAAGTTGGGCTCCTCTTCCTGCGAGTTTATAAATAAACTGCTCAGTTTGGTGGCAATGGCAGCTGGATGGGGAGCTCTCGCTTCTGGCAGAAATAAGGATCTCTTCCTAAGTCCTCTAAGAGCAGGGGTTCCCCTAGACCCCTTCCCAAACTGTAATGAACCCATGAGTAGCAGAGATCCTGTTAAAATGTACTGATAGATTCTGATTCAGTGGACCTGGGGTAGGCCTAAGAACCTGCATTTCTAATCAGCTCCCAGCTTGGGCGGATGCTGCTGATATATTTTGAGCCACGAGGCCATAAAGCGCATGAGAAAATCACCACGTACTCACAGACGATCCATCAGGGAGGAAGCATGGGGAATTGCAAAGTGCTTTCTACAACATTTGTTACCGTCAGGACAAGAGCTCAGGGGACCAGGATCTACGGGCTGAAGGCCTCTGACGCCAGGCTTCCCGGTGCGTCGGGACAGGAGACCTACCCAGCATGAAGGAGCCTTTGAGAGGAGCCAGACCCCCATCCGAGGCAGCCTCTGCTCCCAGAGCCCTGGGCCTTGCTCGTCTCAACTGTCTTGGAACACCATTGCTCGCCCTTGCCTTCCAGGGAGTCCCTTTTCTCCTCTCTCTGTCTCCTCCTTCTCTTTCCCCTTTGTTGTCATCTCAGGGGAAGGTTCTGCCCTTCGGCTTCGTGGCTTATTTTCTCAAGACCTCACCCAACACACACGCATACACGCACACCTCCCGCTACTATTAAAGGCCTATTATCCCACTGTTATCTCATTAATCAGTGCTCCCAGCCATAGCCTTGTATGAGGCTGCCATTATGTCCATTTTACAGGTGAGGAAAACAAGGTCAAAGAGAGTCCGTGGATTGTCCAAGGTTCCAGACCTAGGAGAGTGTGGGGATTCAAACCAGTTCTGGGAGACCTCCCAGCCCGCGTTCTTTCTATCACGCTGAGGTTAGGAGCCTTCTACTAGCTTTCTTCTTGGTCAGTCTCCCTTCTCTGAGCCTCGGTTTCTCCACCTATAAGATGAAGGTCGTTGGGGGATCAGAGGGGCTGCTCTGTGTGCAGTACTCCGCATGGTGCTTGGTGTAACTGTCCTTGGTAACACTGGGCTGCCCGGGGTGCCCCCTCCAGAGCTCCTCAGAGCAGGACTGAGCTGTACGTCCGTGGGAGGAGACAGCTTGCTGGCCCTTCTTCATTCTTGAGGCCCTGGTCAGGGTCCTCTGATACCCTTTGCCTCCTCTTCCTTCCCCCACCCACCCCCACTCTCGAGTTTCTTTACTCCCCACTATCAGCCTTTTTCCAATTTTCAGATTTCAGGTGGAGGAGAGAGAAAATGGCCTGTGACCTTGCAGGTTTCAATAGAAGAGCAAACACCAAGAGCAGATAAGGAGACGCCAGCAAGATTCTATGACCTGTCATTAGGGATGGGCTTCCCAGCTATCAAATGTTTGCTCACATAATAAAATGGTGGCAGAGCCCTAAATGTTGTCAAAGGAACTAGGGTTATTTGCCCCCTTCAGAGTCTAAACACAAACATCTGATAAGGGGTGCACTGTGCTCCCTCAGAACGGAGGCCTGGCTCACCCAGCGGCGCGGGGGGCCTTGCCCGAGGACCTCTGAGTGACTACAGAGCCCTCGTCTGGAGGGTGTAGTGGCTGGGGGATTGTTAAGGACGTCCTCACCCTAAGAAGATTTGATCCGTAATGGGGAAGAGCTGACATTTATTGAGGTCCTACTGTGTGCCGGGCTGCACCGCTAAGTAAGGGCTTGACACGCATCATGGCATTGAATGCTCACGTCAAGCCTCTGAGGTAGGTAATTCATTCATTTCACACGGTTTGGAGGTCCTTCCATATGCTTAGCCCTTTTTTAGGCACAGGGTGTGTGTGCAGTTGTGAACAAGACCCTGTCCCCATCCCCACCGAGATTACATTCTAGTGAGGGTTTTGAACAATGAATGAGTAAAACAAAATGCATAACATAAAAGTTTAGGAGGAGATGAACACTCTAGAAAAATAAGCATGGTAAGAGGTTTCAGTGACTGGAGGGAAGAGGCAGTAAATTAGGGAAGGAGATCGGAAGGTGATCCCCCCACTCTTTGAGGTGGTGATGTTTGAACTGAATGAAATGAACGCAGGTAAAGATATGCATTAAAGAGTATTCCAGGCAGAGGATACCGCAGAAGCAGAAGTCCTGTGGTGGGATTGCTTCAGCTCTGGTTCAGCTGAGGCTGAGTGACAGAGGGAGAAAGGGCCGTGGTCTGACCACATAGGGCCTTGGAGGTCCCTGTTTCAGTCTGGTTACAACGGGAAGCTAGTGGAGCATTTTGACAGGGGAGCGACATGATGGATCTCCCTTTTCCAGAGATCACTCTGGCTGCTGTGTGGTGAGCAAAGCACACCCACGCCTGTGGGGCAAGACTGGTAGTGGGAAGTTAGGGGCCGCTGCAGGAGCGAAAGACTGATGGGGTGGTGAGAAGTGGTCAGACTGAGGATGCATTTTGAAGGACCCCTAGCAGAACTTATTGATGGGCTGGATGTGCGATGCGGGGTATGAAATGATCAAGGGTACCCTCAGGAATCTCACTGGAACAACTGGTATCATGTTTGGAAATGCAGAAGGCCAAGGAGGAGGCACTTTGGGTCGGGAGGAATTGGGACAAAATGAAAAGCTGCTATTTTAGGCAGGTTCACTTCGAGAGGCTTGTCAGGTATGTTAGGTATATGCATCTGTATGTGCCAAAGATGCATCAGGTCTGTGAATGGACCCTCAGGGGAGAGGTCTGTACTGGAGACAGAATGATAGGATCCATCTTTGTGTACGCTTGATCCAAAGCCCTGGGACTAGAGATCGCCCAGGGACAAACATGGAAGAGAAGAGGCCAAAGAGTGAGTCCCAGGGCCCTTTGACAAGTAAATGTCGCAAAGACGAGTTGCCAGCCAAGGAAAGGAGGACTGGCCAGTGTCACAAGAGGAGAACCAGGAATGGGTAAATGTCCTAAAATCCAAGTGAAAAAGGAGGGAGTGATTGGCTGTGTCAGAGGTAGAGCTTGAGAGAGAACCGCTGGATTTGGTGACAACGAGGTATTAGTGAGCTGGCCAAGAGGGGTTTCGGGAACGTGGGGACAAAAGCCAGACTGAAATTCCTCGAGAGGAGGTATATATACAATGGGGGGGGGGGGGAAAATTGGCAAGGGGG